AAAAAAACGTCTTTCTCTGTGTGAGAGAATATTATGAAAACATAAATGACGTCATACATTGGCCCACGAGACATGCAAGTCTTACATTCCTCAAAATACGAAGTATGTAACATCTTGTAACTGAACTGGCTCTAGAAAATCCAAATTTGTGACATTTAATTCAGTGTTTTCCCCTTTTCTACACATTTATCATTGCGATGACGTCATTTTAAATGCTAATTTTGTGACGTCATTTTCAGACTGAAGATCACAAAATGAACTTTGGTAACAAGCATTTTCGTTTTCAGCGCGTCAGATTACTTCAGAAAACTCTTGTTACCAGCTTTTACTAAGAAATGCTTCTTGATTTTTGTGAGAAGGACTTAGTCCAAATACCGACTAGTCTAATATAATCGTTTGAATGCACTATCATAATGAAATATGTAGTCTTGAAAGAACTAATGCCTCACATTCCCCGAGTCTCTGTAATAAGCCATTTCAAGCTATTTGGCCTACAGTATATCTCAAGTAGTGATAAGAAAAGAAGTCATTTTCCCGATTCGTCAATATTACACGTTGTTGTACGATTACTCAATTTTTACGAGTATTTAGGTTCGTTTCCGCTTTTCTTCTCGGGTCCTGTCGCGTTCCTCCCATTTTCAGGAGTTCAGAGCGCGAGCTTTTTCCCCGAAACAGCGGCTCAGTGCTAATCGAGCCTAGAAAGTTTTTATTATTTAAAAAAAATGACATGCCATTTACTTTATCAGATAAAAATATTAATTCGCAGTGAAACGTGATTTATACTATTTGTATTTCATCAAAATCTTTTACTGAAGAAAGGAAAAACGCAAAGTCACTCAGCGCTCTTCAAAACAGGAACCTTGTCTGTGACATAACGGAAAATCGATCGAGACCAGTTTAATCCTGGGTTCTTTACCAATGTTCTAACGTTAAACAATGTACAACTAAAATCGAAAATGGAAGATTAGCTAGAGTCTACTCAGTAAAATCCTTTGTGCCTACTTTAATTAAGGTACCAGAGGCTTTTAACATGGCGAGTTCATTCGTGTATAAATCAAGAAGAAAGGCAGAAACCTTCTGAAATTTTATATGATCCAACACGCAATTTTAGGCCATATGAAACTATTATTTTGCAAAATAAGTTTCGGAAGACAATTCACACCTTTTGTCAACCTACTTAAGACTAAAAGCTACTAAAACTGAGGTTGAAATTACTGTGATTCTGTGCTTACCGTCCAAGGACAAGTCTGAATTATTTTATCCACGGCAATCTCCGTCAGGTATTAGAGTTACGACGGTAACCTCCGTGTTATAAGAAGTCCAAATCGAAACGAAATGCTATCAAGGTCAGTTTTAGCAATTGCGCAGGCAAGTGTCATATTTTTACGTTTCAATTTCGACTGAGTTCGTTTCAGTGGACTTTAAAAGCATAGCAAATTAAAGAGAAACGAGAATAGTCATTTTCTTTTATTGACACAGTACCTGGTAAAATCTTTGCAATTTGCTTGTGCCAGTGCAGGCTATCCTCGAGATTGGATAAATGGATAAATAGTTAGCCCTCCATGTATTGGAGCTTATTTCCAAGGTGAGCGCTAGCCTCTCAATATATTTTTAGATCACTCTCAGGGAATCCCAGGAAGATCTAGAAAGAACGTGACGAGGAGTTAGCTCAAGTGAAAAGCCTTCAGAAGAGTCATTACAGATTTTGTCCCCTACGAAAGTATCTACGTAATGCGCGTGGAAACATTATCCGCCCGAGAACTGGGTGCCATGTCTAAGACCTATAGGCATGGGGATCTGATTCTTTTACCCCTAATCCTCTTTTTCTATTCCATGCCTGTGTGACTTTTTCCCCTGGTTGCGTGACTTTCTATCTCATGGTTGTGTGACTTTCTATCCCATGCTTTAATTGTGTGTTTGTGCCATTCTGTCAACCGCATTAGAGTAAAAATTTAGCTCAGTAACATTTGAAGTAGATCTCACCAACCGTGAATGATTACAACACACAATTTAGTTTAAATTGCAGAAGAAATTATTTTATTAAGATGTTCATTTCTCCTGAAACGTTAGAAGAAATTTGCTTTTGATTATTTGAACTTTTCGTATTTTCGAATCAGCCTGAGAAACGGAAATTGGTTCCAAACACCGCGTGTTCGAAAAATTGACGGCAAATTCCTCGTATAATCTTTTTGTCCCTGACCAAAGAACTGCTTCATAAAACTGGGTGGTTCAAAAAACGGAGATTTGAAAGGTCGAGATTACACTGTACAAGTAAGCCACCCTGATAACAACAGTTAAAGAAAACACGGTGAGCAGGTTGGAGAAAAGAAACTTTACCATACAAAATAAGACAAAATCAAGATTAATAAACACGAAACTGCAATAACATGAAACTAGAGGGTGTGTAAGTTGCGAAACGTATTCTTTTAATCACGTGGCTGTGCACTGAGGTAAATTATGTTTGTCATAGCAAAGGATATCTTCACATGCATAGTCTCATTTTCCATTGTGTTTCAGTTTTTATTCGTTGTCGGTTCAAGTCAACAAGCATAGTCCACGTACCTTCCTCAAAATCCGCCAATCACCCCACGACAGGTTCATTGTGTTGTCATGAAAGTTTTCATAACTCTGTCATTTTTCATTGGAGAAGGTCTCCAGTCAATGTCGACATCGTTCATGCAAGATTTTCATTTCATCCGGGAAAAAGAATATCATTTGCTCTCTACACAACATGTTGAATTTGGTTATTTCACGTTTTTGTTTTATAGAGTATAGCAAAGAAGCATATGAAACGGTTTATATTTTTAGTCGCAAAGCTGCCCTGCTTTCTTGGTTTGCTAAATATCCCTTACGATAACCCAATTCCTTCTTCCTTTGAAAAGTGAAGTATTTACTCAGATGTGTTGTGTAATACTCAGAAGTTGTTTACATTGCCACAAGAGCCGGTCTATCGTTTATTTTTTTTTCAAATGATTTGTGGCGAGTGCTGCGACCTGGTTTAATCCTGTGGGTAATGTTATAGTTACAAATACCATCTAGAGCAGTGGTTCCCTCGTATTAGTTTTAATAAACAAGTTACTTTTCATTTTTGGTGGTTAGGTAATAAACAGGAACGGAGGGATTCTCCCAAACGAGCTTACGTCATCGGCTACTCGTCTTCAACGATTACCGAGAGAGGGGGCTCTGGACAATTGCGCTGGAATGTCGGTTCTCAGTTGAATTTCCGGTGATTTCTTAGCTATCTATCAAAATTTCAGCCCATTTCTCCTCTCTCTGTAAACTTTCAAATCTTAACTATAAGTTAAAAGACGCGTCATTACAGTACAGTATAAAACAAATTCGTCTCTCGAAATCAAATAAACAAACACGAAACTGTAATAACATAATACCAGAAGGTGTGAGTTACCCAACTTATTTCAGTTTTTTGAGCATGTGCACTGGCTGCGCGGAGATAAATTACCGAAAATGTTTGTCATGGCAACGCTTATCTTCAAATAATCTCATTTTCCATTGTGTTTCAGTTTCCATTCGTAGTTCAAGTCAGCAAACACAAAACACCTAATTTTTCATAATCCGCCCATGACCACCTGAAAGGCTCCATATGTTGTCACGCAATTTTCCAAAAACTCTTTCGTTTTCCAATTGACAGGCAGATTACATCATACAGTCGAACCTCCCGGTTGCGACCACCTCTCGTAAGCAACCACATCTCCTCAGCGACCAGTTTTCCAGAACACCAAAAGTTTCCAAGTCAAATCATTATATTTGGAACCTCTTGTAAGCGACCACCTCTCGTAAGAGACCGCGACCACTTTTAGAGCTAAAAGTCTGAAATTTTCTTTTGTTTTTAACCTCCCGTAAGCGACTTGACAGATAATAGAGCGTAAATTGGATAATGAGGTGTTGTAACATTATCGCATTCCTGAGTACTGCAAGAGATTGAAATTTCCTCAATGCGAAGTACCGGATTTTTATCTCGAAACTGAATTTTCACATGAATAAAACATTTAAACATGGGGTAAGTCTCTGCATTTACCATATACTAATGAGGCAAAATTTTGACCCGATGTGGTCTAAGCTCTCGTAAGCGACCACCTCCCGTAAGCGACCACCTAGGCTTGACATTTTTGGTGTACCAAAATTTTCAATCAGTGTTGGCTTCAGAAATGCAAGATCTGTATTTCATCTCGGAAACATAACACATCGTTCACTTTAATTTCTACAAAGAACGCTGCGTTTGTAACTTCACGAGTTGAACCAGGATTTGTATCATTATTGTTAACCCGATACCGTCTTTCCCTAAAAAGTGAAATATTCAGAACATTTCTCCGACTTTTCTCCTTTGAAATGCACTTCACCAACATCAGGGTTTCCCACTATTAATGCGCCGGTCTGATAGTGATAGTCGGCTAGACTTTCATTAATGAGCTTGAGAGATGTTAAAGAAGAAACAACCAGGATTCTGAAAGTCTCGGATAAGTACTTCCCACCTTCATCAGTTAACGCAGCAAATGGAATTTCGTATAAAGCGCGATCAGGAGCAATGATAATTTCAGGGCCCTCAAGGAAGTCCGCCATAGGAGCAATGATAAGTTTGTAACAGAGAAGAAGGTTCACTTTCGGTCCTTGGTTGTCTTTACCTTCCTTCACAATTCGCCAACCTTCATGGCTGTGTTCATCGCATGACTTGGATTCTGGCTGAAAACGGTGTAAGGATCGGTCTTCGCAAAGCTCGTCTGGTAAAATGCCAAAACTTCGAAAATTAAAAAAAGCTCTTCCAAATGCTGATTCATACCTTCCCGAATAACAAATAACTGTTGTGAAAAAATGAATGATCTGGTCTATTTTTTAGTACCGAATTTCAAAATTTTCGCGTCTGTCTTTATGTTTCCACTTTCTATAGGCATATATATATTTTTTAATTTTACAAAGATTAAACGCCGCAATGAAATTCTCCACGTTCAGTCGAGGTGGCGTACCAGACTTTACTACAGAGTAGAGGCCGGAGTTTATACTAAACCTTCGTTGAAAAAAAAAAAATGAAAAAAAAATTAAATAAATAAATAAATAAAATAACAATCTGGAAGACGGATTTTTCGCAAACTTGAAAAATGTGAAACTTTACTTAGTTTACTTAGTCTCCCCCCTCCCCGCCAATTTGAGCAACCCTGAAGACGCAATTTGTTTCTTTCTCTTTCTTTAATTTACGACGACACTCAACCGTCCCAATAGTGAGTGTATTAAATGTTTAGCGGCCTATCAGATGGCTGGGAGATTTTGTCAAGGACCTTGCTAGGAAAAAGGACCTGCAGGCATTTTTCTTGGAGAAAAGGAACAGATTGAATTGGGTCTAGAACTGTTTTTCTGGTGATGTTCGTTCCCGCAAAAGAAGTGCTAGTCTGTTGTGTATATAACCTCCGAATCCTTCAGGCGGTACTGGGCCGTCAAGGGACATGATTTGGGGGACTTGAGATAGGAAAGGGGTGTCACGAAGGATGGTCATTTTTGAAGTTAACCGCTGTCCAAACACTCATTCTTTGTTATTTTCCTCAACGCGGGAGGAACGATCAAGGAAGAGTTCGATTATGGCCTCCATGAATTGCATCTTTGCGCGTTTCTTGAGAGCAACATCGCCTTTGAGACTAAGCAATACCTCTTTGGTAAGTATTATTCCTAGCTTTTGACCAGCTGTTTCTTATTTCAACGCTATGTGTTTGTTTGATCGAATCATTGATCACACGTTTAAATCTACCCGTGCTGTACAAATGTAGTGATCGATCGTTTATCTAAAAGGTTTTTAAAAGTGTTATGAAAAGGAATCTTGTCATGGCTTTACAACAAAAAGGCTGTTATTATTGCTCGGGTTGTTTATTTTGAAACTGTTTTAGGTCCGGTTGTAATTTTATTGATTTTTTTTTCTCACTATGAGGAAAGATTACCTCACCAGGAACTCCTCAACAACAACTTTAGTACCTAGGACGTAAACTTAAGCTTATTCTTATGTACCCTACTCAACACATCAAGAGATATATTAGGCATTTATATAATAAATCCATGAGTTCAATCAGACAAGATTCTTTCGAATGAGTCTTGTTTTTATTCATTGCTAGAACAATCATACATGTACTGTACATTTAAACACAGCACTTGCAGAGATATACAATAAGAACAGAAGGGGCATCAGTATATCTTAAGTAACATTAAAACAAAGCCAGCAAAGCCATGTTACCAATACCTAGGCCACGCAGCATTTTCGAGTGGTGTACCATGGAATGCCCTGCTAGTTACCTATATTTTCTTGGTATACTCACAAGTCTTTAGGCAAGTGTGTATACCAAGAAAATACAAGTGACTTGTGGGATATTGATAGTATACCACAAGAAATAAAGTGCTGCATAACACGCTTACTATTTTATACCATGCCGTAGAAAATACAGCGGCCAATACAATCAATGCAATACTAGATGGGAAGGTTGGGTGTAATGCCATCTTGTATACAACAGGTTTCCTGCATTCTGATTGGCTGTAGTTTCTGTGGCATGGTGTAAAACGTAGTATTACATAAACATGCAATATTGATTTTTTTTCTGTTTAGAAGCTCCTTTTTTTTTATTTAATTAATATCTTATATAATTCAATATACACTTACATACTTACTTCACAAAATTACATTATTTACACCACTCACATTGCAATACTCGATATACAGTACACTATTTACATGCCTTGCATTACTAGTTACTAATAGTATAAACATGCATTATATTCCGCTCACACACACTCATATATGATGTGTACGTGAAGCTAACTTTGCTTGGGAAGAGAAATTTTCACTTCTGTAAGTGATAATTTGCCCTTGCACATTTACTTCCTTTGGCTGGCAATAGTATAATGCAACAAATTCGTCCTTCCAATTAACTGCAAGCACTTGGGAAGTTAGGAAGCATGCAAGAAGCTTAAGTGCAGAGTTGTTCACAGCTGTGTCTCTAGTAAATCTTATGCTGCGCTAAATTTCTTTCTGTTTCTAACAGTATGTACATATATTGGCCCTACGCTACATAGGGAGGCTCCAGTGCCCAAATGGGGAGCCTTTTTGAGGCTTCAGGTACCGTTATATAAAAGGGTGGGCATTTCACAAGTTGAGGTCTATGAAAGGGTAGGGAAATCTGCTATTTTAAGGAAAAAAATTTTAACAGATGTACCTGATATGGTTGTATCATTTTATTTATTAGCTACATGTACGTCATGAAAATGACACAAAGACTTGGTTNATTCGTCCTTCCAATTAACTGCAAGCACTTGGGAAGTTAGGAAGCATGCAAGAAGCTTAAGTGCAGAGTTGTTCACAGCTGTGTCTCTAGTAAATCTTATGCTGCGCTAAATTTCTTTCTCTTTCTAACAGTGAAAGGGTAGGGAAATCTGCTATTTTAAGGAAAAAAATTTTAACAGATGCACCTGATATGGTTGTATCATTTTATTTATTAGCTACATGTACGTCATGAAAATGACACAAAGACTTGGTTTCTGGGATTTATTCATAATACAGGCCTGTTATGAAAGTATGGTATGTGAAAGGGGTACTTTTTTTCANCCCCCCCCCCAGGGCAAATCTCATATTATGTTCCTAACAATGTGATGTTTTAACTATGAAGGTCATCCTCTTCAAGTTTCTTCAAGTTCTTCCTGCTTTGATTATTATTTCATTTTATTCCTTTTCAACCAGACCTTAGTGGGCTGTAAATTCTCCACAAGTTCTTCAAGAAGTCTACATTTTTACAACAGTGGAGAAGAGGCTGTGAAAGAAATTCCACATGGTGCAAAGTTGCTGGTAGGAGGTCAGTAAATAATTAATGTCATGATCAGATTACATACTGTATACAGTACTTAGCATATACCCAGTGATGGATTGTTGACAAACTTGGGCAGCAGTGAGTGATCTAAAAATATCTTGGAAGGGATTTCCTTGGAAATGATGCATCATACACTTTAAGCCTTGATCCTTTCTTGTACATGTACAGATGCCCCTCCCTATGTACATGTATCTATCTGTCAGTATAACTGAAATTTAGCTTATTTATAATAGTCTGCTGTGATCAAATTTATGGGATAATTTATTGACTAACGTAGATATGCTACTCCTAGCTATAGACATTCAAGATTGAAAGGGGGGAAGAGGATTTAGATAATTTTGTTTAAGTTTTGAACAACTTGTCTAGTAGATTTAAATACTATTAAAAACAATCTGATTATTCATTCATGATATCTATGCGTGATACTGTAGTTGACTGACGGGCTGCATGTTCATCAACTATATCATGGGATAGAAATTTTGAGCTCTTATCAATCACATCAATCATATTTATTTATATTCAGGGGAGAGAGCAGACTATAGTATAATTCACTCTTCTAATCAGTCTATTTGCAGTGGGTACACCATTTTTGTTTATTTTCTCTTAGGATTTGGGCTGTGTGGAATTCCAGAGAACTTAATCGATGGTTTACTTAAGACTGGAGTGAAGAATTTGACTTGTGTCAGTAACAATGCAGGGTTAGTCAATATTAACAAGTTGTCCAATGTTTTCCATGGTCTACAATGTTAACCCTTATACATAATAGACCATGAGATGATGTCACAAAATACTGAATACTCAGTTGGAACCCAGTAAGCTGCTAAAGCAAGTGGTTTCCCCACAAAGCCTGGCCTATCTCTTTTTATTATTTTATGGATCACCTTTTTCTGCTTGAAGCTGACTTGTAAGCACATCAGAAATTTTGCTTCAAAATGAAATGCCGCATTTGGTTAATTTCACCACCTTGCATTGCTTTAATTTATGGTATGCTATTTTCATGAGCTACACTTTTACCAACCATAATTCTGTGATGTGCTTGCCCACAATTTACATCTGCCCCACCCTCCCCGTCCCCCACAAAAAATTCTTACTAACGTGATTAATTTATAACACAACACAGTACTTTGTCTGCAGTAATTTTTCTTCAAAAAGTTCCCCCAAAAAGAGTTATCTTGCAAGTAAATTCCTATTGCTTAAATCGGTAATAAATTATTAAATAAATACTGATTAACATAATTATGTTTCTAGGGTTGATGACTTTGGTCTTGGTTTGCTTCTTAAAACTCAACAGGTTTGTTAAAAAAAAGCTGATTTCTACCGTTGACTGTTAGAATGGAAATCTGCCTTCATTATCATTTGTGCCATAGACAGAAACATAGCCCCACCCCTCGTCTCCACCCCCCCTTTCCAACAAAACAAAGAAACAACACCCCTAATTGTAGATAGTAAATCAGAAATACCCAAATTCAAACCATCTCCCTTTGGCAGGGCTTGAAAAGAAAGGTGAATTCCAGCTTGCCCTTGGGACAAGTAGCTCTCGAATTTTGCTTGCCCTGGACAAGTATTGGTTTGCACTTTTATTGATTTAGTTGGTAGACGACTTGCCTAATCAGTGAGAATGAAAAGTTACTTGCCCAGAAGGAAAATCTGCTTGTCCTGGATCGATGTCTGGACAGCACTTTTTGTGAGCCCTGCTTTGGATTTGCTCAGGTTGCTTTTACTGGTCATGATTATTGTTTATTTTAAACATTCCTGCTATTAACTGAACAGACTGTTGCTACCCTTGGCCAGTAAATCAAGCTGTTTTATTTGAAACTCCAATCCAATGGTAGAGTTGGAAAGAAATGCATCAAACCAAATCAGAACATCACTTAGCTATAGGACACTTTGTTTGATTGCTCCTAAATCATTTGCTTCAATTAACTTTAATATGAAAACAATCAGAACTACTCACTATTAAGCTTTTACTTTAATTACCACTGAGAGCTAATTCTGAGATATTTTTAAATTAATATATATAGTAAAATACCCTTTCAGAAGTCTTCATAGTCCCTGGGTGGTGATGAAAAAAATATTGTTTTTTAGTTAATGACAACAATTAGGTTAATTTTGAGATAAATTTATCAAGGCGTTTTTGTTGAATAAGACTGAAACAGAATTTGCAATATCAGAGAACTTTTCATTCCAAGTATTTTACAGCAGCCTTGTACTTAATATGATATTGTAAAGTAATATTAGTCTACTACTCTATCAATAATCAATTATCGTATCTGTTAACTAAAGAAGCGTCCCCTAACGAATAAATAGCCTTAAACATCAATTGAAAGTTTTCAAACTCATATTACATGTACCTAAAATCTTCAGCAGGTAATTTAATTTATAGAGGGCAAAAGTGATTCCGTCATGTTGCAATGCATGCATATTTAATTAATTTTTTTATAAATATAATTTAAAATATAATTATTATTAATAATAATCATGCATTATTGTTGACCCAGTTATTTTGAACACCTGTTTAGCTATTTTTAACTATTTTTTCCTGTGATAGTTCAAAATGTTAGGGTCAACTAAAGGGGTTTCATTTATGTTTTCAGCAGGAGCGCAACTGGTTTTCACAGGCAGGCAAAACTATTTGACCTGAGCTTCTTTATAAGAAACACTAATTCCATTAGTTGGTCAAACCAGGCAGGCAAATTCATCCTCACAGCCAGTCAATTTGCCTGGTGTGCAGCCCTCAATGAAACCCCTGTCAACTGTATTAGTGGCAAATTAAACAGCAGATTAATTGTTAGGTAGCAAATAAGTTTTCTTAGTATTTATTACTAACAGCAACATTGCTGTAGTTATGAATGTTTGATACTTGAATGTGATTCTGCAGATAAAACGAATGATTTCATCGTATGTTGGTGAAAATGCTGAATTTGAACGGCAATACCTCTCTGGAGAACTGGAAGTTGAACTTACACCTCAGGTGATTGAATTGGATAATATGTATTAGTGGAATCCCGATTTGTCGAACCCTCATTTTTTCGAACCTCCTGATACGTGTAGCTCAAACCAATAGTTGTTTCCCTCCCTCAGTCGAGCACTGTAATTTTATCCTCCATTTGGCATATGCGGGAGAACACAAAGGCATATGCATCAGTTCCATATGTTAAAGGGGTGTCGGAGCGAGTTAGATGGATTTTGAACTGCGAAAACATCAAGACAGCTTTTAAACCACTAAAAACATTGGGTAATGTTTTCAAAAAGCCTAAGAAGTGGCCGGCAAAAGAATACTCGACAGAAATTGCGTACAAAGTGAGCTGCAGAACGTGCCCATTTACATATATTGGAGATAGTAAAAGAAATTGGAAGTCTCGGTGGGCTGAACACAACATTCATGTCCAATACACCCAACTAGAGTCGATTCGTCTGAGGCACTTCACGATTCGATTCGATTCGCACGGAGTCGATCCGCACCACCGGAAGTCAAGACCCGTGAAATAATGATACATGAACGTTCGACTCGATTCGCACGGAGTCGATCCGCACCACCGGAAGTCAAGACCCGTGAAATAATGATACATGAACGTTACTCGT